CATCTGCCTTCAGCTCAGGTCGCAATCCCAGGATCCTGGGATCAAGTCCCATTTTGGGCTCCCTGCTCGGGGGGGAGCCTGCTTCTCCCTCTGCCTATACTCACTTGCTGGCTGGCTCTCACAAATAAAATCTTAAAAAAAAAAATTAAAATTAACATCAGCATCCAAAGGATTTGCTGAGAAATGTTGCATTTGAGTCATAATTTTGGATTTATTTACTGTAACTGTAGCTAGGTAGCAACATATTATGCCACTAAATAAAATGAAATCCAGGGAAATGATGCAATTTTTTTAATGTCTCACCCCCTAGTTATTGGTTGGTGCTGGGTAGGGGTTCCATGTTCCCATTCCTAGTCCACTTTTATCATTGATACATACTCTTAATCCTTGTATTAGGAATTTTTAACCTGAATGGGAGTGAAATTACAAAGTAAATATTGATAAGTACCATTTTAGGCCTAATTTGTAGGTTTCATCAGAATGTCAAAGAATGTTTGCCCCCAAAATAGGAGATCCTCTTAATTTTATCTATTGTTGCTGTAGAGTATAGTGGTTCAGTATGGCTGTCGAGCCAGAGTGATGTGGCTTTGAGTCCTGCTTCATCACCTGTTAGATAATTATGACAGACTAGTTAGCTTCTAAGTTTTTACTTCATTTGTGAAATGAGAATAATAATAACGTTACTACTATTTTAGACTGTGAAGAGACCAAGTGCTTACTTAGCACAGCACCTGACAGAAGACCTTAATAAACACCTGTTTTAATTAAAATTGTTAAAATTTATTTTGGAAAATAGTATACATGTTGAAGGTTATGTAAGCTAAAGTGTGAAAAGTTGGACTAAAACACAATTTGTAACCTTTATCATTTTATTCACATGTCAATAATTATGAGCAATTTTTAGCTGGTAGTAAAAAAGTACCCAAAAGTAGAATGTTACAGTGTTCATTGTTCATACCGAAGACGAGACAAGTGACAATAAAATATCCAGGTGACTCAGTGTTTTGTGATTAAAAAAAAAATTTCATCTAGGGGTGCCTGGGTCGCTCAGTTGGTTAAGCATCTGCCTTTAGCTGGGGTCATAATCCTAGCATCCTGGGATCGAGCCCTGCATCAGGCTCCCTGCTCCTCGGGGACCCTGCTTGTCCCTCTCTGTGCCACTCCCTTTGATTGTGTGCGCTCTTTATCTCTTCCTGTCAAATAAACAAAAATCTTTGAAAAAAAAAATATATATATGTTTTTTTTTTTTTTTTTTCTTCTTCTTTGTTTATTCTCCCCTCCTCTCATGTCTCCGACCTCCCTCAGTTTCTTTCTTGGGCATCAGAAAATAACTGTTGCCTAGATTAAGATGGTAGTTTTTGTAGGTGATAACCAGCAACTAATAAGGCATGGTTAATCTTCAAAAGAGATTGTTAACTTAGGGCCTATGACTATGGAGGTCCATAAATATATCTTAGCATACTGATGAACCCATGACATTTCATACAAAATGTTCCTAAAGGTTTTCTGGGAGAAAAATGTTAATAGTTTTCATTAGCTTATTAGTGGTTAAGAATCCTTATTCTAATATATTGACTAAAAGATAGGTAAAAGAGCATATTCACTTAAAATAGTATATTGATAATTTTTATAAACAACTGTATTAATACTTTATATTATTTTCCTCCTATTTAAGTATGTACTCACTGTAAAAATTCTTTGAGAAAATAGAATCGAAGTTTATTTATTTTTAAAAAAGATTTTATTTATACGACAGAAGACAACAAGAGAGGGAACACAAGCAGAGTGAGAGAGCCCTAGGCTCGATCCCAGGACCCAAGACTCTGGGATCATGACCTAAGCCAAAGGCAGCTGCCTAACAACTGGGCCACCCAGGCACCCCGAGAATCAAAGTTAAAAAAGAAAAAAAAAAAAAAAAAAAAAAGGCCGCAGCGCCTGGGTGGCTCAGTGGGTTAAAGCCTCTGCCTTTGGCTCAGGTCATGATCCCAGGGTCATGGGATCGAGCCCTGCAATGGGCTCTCTGCCAGCGGGGAGCTTGCTTCCCCCCCCACCCCCCGCACCTCCCTCTCTGCCTATTTGTGATCTCTCTCTGTTAAAAAAAAAAAAACTTAAAAAAAAAAAAGAAAAAAAAGGCATGCTACTACCCAGAGTAACAACTGATGATTTTTTTTTTTTTTGTATAGCCTTGGCATGAGGTTGTGAATCATACAGTTTAAAATTTTGCAAAAATGTGAGTTTCCTACATCTGTGTTTTATAATCTGATTTTTCATACACAGTCAAGTATAAATAATCTCTTTATGTCATCAGATCTTATTTTTAATTGCTGTATAACAGTCTTGCAGCTGCTGTTCCTTTGTTCTGTCTGTAAGCTCAGGAACATTATATGTTTGTTTAAAAGGTTATCATTTAAAAAAGTTATCATTTTATTAAAATTGCAATTGGGACTGGAATGGGAGGAAAACTAATTCAAAGCGGAGAGATAAGATGAAGAGAATAAATTGAAGAATACAAGTTAATAAAAGAGCATATAAAGGTCTGAAAGTAATATGGATGATAAAAGCATTGAATAACTTTGTTTGTTTGTTTGTTTTGGACTTGTTAAATTTTACCACAAAACAGGCTTAGGTTTCTGTCTTGTAAATTCCTCTTTTCTTACCAGGTATTTTAAGGCCTTTGGTTGTCTTCTGCCATTCTGCGTTTTAGTTTTATTTCATGATTTGTCTTCTAAAAGAGAATTCTTTTAGATACCTGCCTGAGCCGTAGGCAGACACTTAATGACTGAGCCACCCGGGCGCCCCAAACTTATATTTTTTTAAGTTAATTCTACATCAGATGTGGGGCTTGAACTCATGATCCCAAGGTTAAAAGAGTAACATACTTTGTTGACTGAGACAGCCAGGTGCCTCAGTAAACTTTATTTATTTATTTATTTATATATTTTTTAAAGATTTTATTTATTTATTTGACAGACAGAGATCACAAGTAGACAGAGAGACAGGCAGAGAGAGAGAGGGAAGCAGGCTCCCTGCTGAGCAGAGCGCCCCATGTGGGGCTCGATCCCATGACCCTGAGATCATGACCTGAGCCGAAGGCAGCGGCTTAACCCACTGAGCCACCCAGGCGCCCCAGTAAACTTTATTTTTATGAACAGTTTTAGTTGCTGTTGCTTTTGAATAGATTATGTTCTACACTCTTTAAGGCTCTGGCTTTTATTCTGGCATTAAGAAATTTGGGGATATTGATAAATTCAGTGAGGTATTGCTTTGACCACTATTCACAGTAGTGTTTTTCATGAATCATTTCATAAATAAAAGCTTTTGCTAAGGTTATATACCATGGATTAACAGTTCTTTCAATGTTACATAGTACCAGGCCAAGAAGAAGTTAGATCCATTGGAATATGTGTTTGATGGAATTACAGAATCAAAGTTAAAAAATAATTTAGACATGTAGATTCTTCATGAATGTTCAGTTAAAATTTTTTTATAAATTGGAGCTATGTATTTTATGCTAGGCATTTAGAAATTTTATATATATATTTTTTTCAAATTTTATTTCATTCCAATATGGTTAATGTACAGTGTTAGTTTCAGGTCTACAAAATAGTGACTCAATATTGCTGTATATTAATACTCATTAAGATGAGTACACTCTTTAAAAAAAAAAAGATTTTATTTATTTATTTGACAGAGAGAGAGAGATCACAAGTAGGCAGAGAGGCAGGCAGTGGGGGAGGGGAGGCAGGCTCCCTGCTGAGCAGACAGCCTGATGTGGGGCTCGATCCCATGACCCTGGGATCATGACCTGAGCCGAATGAAGAGGCCTTAACCCACTGAGCCACCCAGGTGCCCCAAGATGAGTATACTCTTAATCCCCTTCACCTGTTTCATCCATCCCTCCACCCACATCCTCTATGGTATTCTTTATAGTTAAGAATCTGTTTTTTGGTTTCCTTTTTTGTTTTTCTTTGTTCGTTCATTGTGTTTCTTTCACATATGAGTACGATCATACAGTATTAGTCTTTCTGTTACTGACCTATTTCACTTAGCATTATGCTCTCTGGATCCATCCATGTCTTTGCAAATGGCAAGACTTCATTCTTTTTTTTTTTTTTTTTATTCTTTATTTAAATTCAGTTAACATAACACTGCATTATTAGTTACCAGGGTAAAGTTTAGTGATTCATTGGTTGTATGTAACACCCAGTGCTCCTTATATCCAGTGTCCTCCTTAATGACCATCACTGAATTGTCCCTTACCCTGACCTGCCTCCTCTCCAGCAATCCTCACTGTGTTTCCTAGGATTCAGCATCTCTTATGGTTTGCCTCCCCTATTTTCATCTTTATTTTTCCTTCTCTTCCCGTATGTTCATCTACTTTGTTTCTTAAATTCCATAAATGAATGAAATCATATTGTATTTGTCTTTTTCTGACAGCTCTATTTCCCTTAGCATAGTACCCTCTGGCTCCATCCTGATTCTTTTTCTTAGAGTTGAGTAATATCCTGTTGTGTGTATACATGTGGTGCATCATCTTCATCCATTCAAGTATCAATACACTTGGGCTGCTTCCATAGCTTGGCTGTTGTAAATAATGCTGCAGTAAACATAGGAGTACATATATCCTTTCAGGTTAGTGCTTTTGTATTTTTAGGGTATATACCCAGTAATGTGATTACTGTATCATGGGGTAGTTCTATTTTTAATTTGTGCAGGAACTTCTGTAATGTTTTCCACATTGGCTGCACCAGCTTCTGTTCTCACCAACAGAGCAAGAGGGTTTCTTTTTCTCCACATCCTCGCCAACAGTTGTTTCTTGTGCTTTTGATTTTGGCCATTCTGACGGGTATGAAGTGATATCTCATTGTGGTTTTGATTTGCCTTTTGTTGATAGTGAGTGATGTTGAGCATTTTCTCATGTGTCTGTTGGTCACCTGTATGTCTTCTTTGGAGAAATGGCTGTTCATATCTTCTGCCCATTTTTTTTTTTTTTTTTTTTCCAGCCCATGCCAACCCTTTATTTGTTCTTGGCTGTCAGGGGTTTCCGGCTGATCTTTTTCGATTTGTCATTATTTTTCTTCGGCGGTTCTGGGTTTGCTTGCATGTGTCTGCCGTAGAGGTACTTGTACGTCTCAGAACGGATATATTCAAAAACATGGGACACTCCAAGCTGGAACTGGTCAGCAATTGGGGTCACCCAGGGATTGTTCTCTGCTTTGAACACTTGCTTCTGACCAGTTAAATCCAAGTTTCCTAGTTCTGGGGGCAGAACCGTCAGGCGATTCCCCTGAATGTGGAGTTCCTTAAGCTGAGTGAGCTCCCCGATTTCTTTAGGCAGCGAGATCAGGTCGTTATCCCTAAGGCTGAGTATCTGCAACTTTGTGAGCTTCCCAATATCTGGCGGCAGGATTTCAAAATCGTTGTCACTTAGATAGAGTGCACGCAGGGTGGTAAGGTAGAAGAAGTTTCCAGGAAGAGAATGTTCATTCAAGTTGTTGTAAGTCAAATCAAGGACCTCAAGAGCTGGGAGAGAGCCAAATCCTCGAGGCAAAGTGTTTAGTCTATTCATGCCCAAGTTCAGGTGTTTCAGCTTCTGAAGGCTGCTGATCTGTGTGGGCAGCTCCTCAATCTGGTTATTAAAAAAGTTGAGCACTTCCAAATTCTTCAGCTCTGCTATGTTTGGTGGCACCATTGTTAGCTTGTTGTGGCTGAGGACCAGCTGTGTGATGTGGGATAAGGAGAACAAGCCGTTGACATCCAGCATGTTGGAGATGCCCCGGTCACTCATGTCCACTTCCGGCTGGTTCTTCTCCCGGCTCTCCTCCACCAACTTTTTCAAAGACTTGGACATGTTCGCGGAGGGCAGCACCTAACAGGTTGGGCGAGGGAAGCACGGGCTTCCGCAGGGCACACTTCAGTGGCAGGAGGTGCACTCGGTCAGTGCAAAACGCCTCTTCTGCCCATTTTTAATTGGATTATTTTTTCGTGTATGTGTGTTGAATTATATTAAGTTCTTTATATAGTTTGGATACTGACCCTTGTGTTGAATTGTATTAAGTTCTTTATATAGTTTGAATACTGACCCTTTATCATATATGTCATTTGTAAGCATTCGGTAGGTGGCCTTTTTTAGTTTTGTTGGTTGTTTCCTTTGCTGTGCAGAGACTTTTTATTTTGATGTAGTCCCCAATAGTTTATTTTTGCTTTGGTTTCCTTTGCCTCAGAAGATACATTTAGAAAAATGTTGCTATGGCTGATGTCAGAGAAATTACTACCTGTGTGCTTCTCCAGGATTTTTATGGTTTTCAGGTCTTACATTTAGGTCCTTAATCCACTTTGAGTTTAATTTTGTGTGGTGTAGGAAAGTAGTCCAGTTTAATTGTTTTGTATGCAGCTGTCCATTTTTCAAGATGCTTTGGCTATTCAAGGTCTTCTGTGATTCCATACAAATTTTAGGATTGATTGTTCTAGATTTGTGAAAGATGCTGTTGGTATTTGCATAGGGTTTGCATTAAATCTGTAGATTGTTCTGGGTAGTATGGACATTTTAACAATATTCTTCAAACCCACGAGTGTGGAATGTCTTTCTGTGTCTTTGCATTGTCTTGAATTTCTTTGATCAGTGTTTTCTAGTTTTCAGAGTATAGTTCTTTCATTTCCTTGGTTAAGTGTATTCCTAGGATTTTTATAGTTTCAGGTCTCACATTTAGGTCTTCAATCTGTTTTGAGTTTAATTTTGTGTATGGTGTGAGAAGGTGGTCCAGTATCATTTTTTTGCATACTGCTGTCCATTTTCCAATACCGTTTGTGGAAGAGACTGTCTTTTTCCCATTGTATCTTCATTACTTCTTTGTGGAAGATTAATTAGCCATGTAATTGTGGGTTTATTCCTGGGCTTTCTGTTCTGTTCCATTGATTTATGTTTGTTTTTGTGCTAATACTTTACTGTTTCAATTACTGCTGCTTTGTGATACAACTTGAAGTCTAGAATTGTGATACCTCCAGATATATTTTTCTTTTTCAAGATTGCTTTGTGTAGTTGGGGTCTTCTGGGGTTCCATACAAATTTTAGGATTGTTTGTTCTAGTTCTGTGAAAAATGGTGTTGGCATTTAGATAGGGATTGCATTATATCTATAGATTGCTTTGAGGGTAGTGTGTTTTATTTTAACAACATTTGTTCTTTGGACCCATGAGCATGGAATGTCTTTACATTTCTTTGTGTTGTCTTGAATTTCTTTCATCAGTGTTTTATAGTTTTCAGGGTATAGGTCTTTCACCTCTTTGGCTAAGTGTATTCCTAGGTTATTTTATTATTTTTGGTGCAATTGTTAAAGAGATTGTTCTTAATTTCTCTTTCTGCTGCTTCATTATTAGTGTATAGAAATGCAGTAGATTTCTGTACATTGATTTTGTATCTTATGATTTTATAGACTTCATTCTTCAGTTCTCGTTTTTTGGTGGAGTCTTTAGGGTACTGTATATATAGTATGTCATCTGCAAATAGTGAAAATTTTATTTCCTCATTACCAATTTGAACCCTCCCCACCCCCACCCCACTTTTTCTTGTCTGACTTCTGTGGCTAGGACTTCTAATATTTTGTTGAATGAAAGTAGTGAAAGTAGTGAGGGGGACATCCTTATCTTGTTCCTGACTTTAGGGGGAGAGCTCTCAGTTTTTCACCATTGAGTATGATGTTAGCTGTGAGTTTTTCATATTAAGGCCTTCATTATGATGAGGTATGTGCTCTCTAAGCCTACTAGCTTATTCTTAAATGTAAGCATTCTCTATTCAAGTAGCATATAACTCTACTTGGTAAGAATGTCTTATCAGGCTGCTAGAAGGTGTAGGAAAAAATAGGATAAGCTTAGATAGTGGAAGGGTATGTCTGAGATTAGTTTATAAATAGACATAATGTGTAGGAGTTTAAAAAATAAACAGAAAAAGGCCTGTAATAAAGTTCATTGCCCCATCTCCTCAACTCCACTTTTGCTTTCAGGTGTTGGCTTTGATATTAACCTCTGTATAATGAAGTAGTGTTATTATACTGCTGTTACTTCATGCATCAATTTTAAGTAAACTCTATAAACTTTCTTTTCTGATACATAAAGATTACTTTCTTAAAACTTCCCTTTTCTCTCAGGGCACTTCTGAAAACAACAGTTCTGGTCAGTGGTGAGTCAGAAAAGGTTCTATGGCTCATTTTATATTTTACAAGAAATAAATTCTTGTTTATCTTTTGTTATCTTTTTTCTTTCCTAGAGTTTACTGGCTGGTTTTTAATAATTTTTGAGTTGTGCATCACTAATTCTTTTCAGACTCTTCACCCCTTCTTAGTACTAGTTTTTACATTTTTTATGCATCATTATGTGATCGCATTTCCTTCCCTTTCCCCTCTCCTGAATTTCCTTGGGCCTTTATCTTCCTACTCCATTTGTTGGTTTCTTATTAGGGCTACTGAAGGCTACTATCCTCTCTTCAGATCATCCTTGAAATTTCTTTCGCTTTTCTGTTTTGGATCTTAGGGTTCCTGGATTCCATGTTGACCTCTTTATTGGTTTACTATTTTTGCTTTGTCAGAATGACATCTTTTCTGAAAAAGGGTGTATAGGAGACCAGTGTTTTTTTTAGATCTTTCAGGCCTAAAAGTTTATCTTCTGCCCTTAATCTTACTGAAGACTTCTGGATGCAGAATTCTAGGTAGAGAATGATTTTCTTTCAGAAATTTAAAAGTCTTGCTTCCTTGTGTTTTACCTCCTGATACACCTTTGAGGATTTTTAAATTTGTTTATTTATTTAGATTTATGTATTTATTTTTTAAAAAAAGGTTTTATTTATTTATTTGACAGAGATCACAAGTAGGCAGAGAGGCAGGAAGAGAGAGAGAGGGGGAAGCAGGCTCCCCGCTGAGCGGAGCCCTATGCAGGGCTCAATCCTAGAACCCTGGGATCATGACGTGAGCCAAAGGCAGAGGCTTTAACCCACTGAGCCACCCAAGCGCCCCAGATTTATTTATTTTTTATTAGAGAGAGAGAGAGCATGAGCTCCCTTAGAGGGGTAGGGAGAGAGAATCTGAAGCAGACTCCCTGCTGAGCACAGAGCCATTGTGGGGCTCAATCTTACGACTCTGAGATCATGTCCTCAGCTAAAATCAAGAGTCAGATGTTTAACCTGCTGTACCACCCCGGCGCCCCTTATTTTTATTTATTTATTTATTTTTGAAAGTAAGCTTTACGTCCCACTGTGGTTCTTGAACTTAGGACCCTGAGATCAGAACTTGCATGTTCTGCAGACTGAGAGAGCCATCCAGCCGCTCCCCTTCCCCCAGTATTGCTTTGGAGAAGTGTTAGCTGTTTTTATTCCTGAGCTTTTCTTTGTCCCTCTTCCCACTCTCCATGAAAGCGCTTAGGATGTTTATTCTCCCATTCAGCTTCAGTAATTTCATCATAGGTGTTTTGATGGAATTTTCAGATACGAAATTTTTGATACACTTTTCTTTTTCTCCCCATTTATTCTTTTTTAATCTATTCTACTTTCTAGGACATTTTTTCACTTTTGACCTTCTGTTGAATCTTACAAATTAATATACTTTTTCTTTTAAAGTTTTATTTATTTAAGTAATCTCTGTACTCCATGTGGAGCTCGAACTCCCCACCCTGAGATCAGGAGTTGTATGTTCTTCCGACTGTCAAATTGCTATAATTCTAGTTTTTTTTTTTTTTTTTAAGATTTTATGTATTTATTCGACACAGAGAGTACAGTATAGGGAGTAGCAGACAGAAGGAGAGGGAGGAGCAGGCTCCCCACAGAGCAGGGGGAGCCCGATGTGGGACTTGATCCCAGGACCCCGGGATCATTACCTGAGCTGAAGGCAGTCGTTTAACTGATTGAGCCACCCAGGTGCCCTCTAGTTGGTTTTTAAGTTGTGACTGATGTATATGCAAAAGCTATGTAATGTATATTTGTACACATTGAAGGACTCTTATTTTGTAGTTTGAATGCATTTTTTTAAAATGGTATTCTGTTGTTTCAGTAATCCAGAATCTTTTTTTTTTTTTTAAAGATTTTATTTATTTATTTGACAGACAGAGATCACAAGTAGGCAGAGAGGCAGGCAGAGAGAGAGGAGGAAGCAGGCTCCCCGACGAGCAGAGAGCCCAATGCGGGGCTCGATCCCAGGACCCTGGGATCATGACCTGAGCCGAAGGCAGGGGCTTTAACCCACTGAGCCACCCAGGTGCCCCTCCAGAATCTTTTTTGACTCTATGGATATAAATTGATTAAAACCTTTTTTCTTTCTGCATTTTATTTATTTTCTCTGAATTTCCTTTTACCATTTGTTTTGATTTGCCTTTGGCAATGCAGCTTTCCTTGCAAGTCTTACTGGTTATCCTTTCATGGCTAAGAGATGGACACTGAAAGATGGATTGGAAGTTCTGCGTGGGTAGGAGTATCTGAGGTATTGGTCTACACTGTAGGATGGTAAAGTGGTGAGCTAGCTTCATTACTGTGGGTAAATGGGCTTTTCTCATAGATACTCATATTCTCTAAGAAAAATAAGTCTTTGGGCTTGACTTATCTTAGTCTGGTTGATAGGCAGGGAAGGTTAGTTGGGGAGGTTCATTCAGTCGTAGTATCACTTAGTTTTCTTTTCTGTTTCTTATATTATCCCTGACTTCTTTAACATCTGGTGTTCCTGGGTTTATCTTGTTCATTTTATGTACAAAAAACTTCTTGTTTCCCTGGGTCAAGTAGGAATAGTAAGTATTGTGGTTGTCTGGGTTGGGAATCTACAGGTTTTAACTGTACCTTTCATTTAGTCCTATTTTCTGCCTATGCTTCATCTCTGCCTTTAGATGAATCTGATGCTCTTTATTGCTGAGCCTTTTCAGTGTTCTGGAGGGTGGATATTTTTGTTGATAAATCCTTCCGTGGCCCTTCCAAA